TATCAAAACCAATACAAATACAATTACAAATTCAAATACAAATACCAATACCAGTACTTACAACATCGCATATATCTATACCAATACTAGTGTAAATACAGATACCAAAGCATAAATGTGAATATTTAAAAAATGGTTATACATTTTTAGTAATCATTACTTATTTCTCTACTAGCGCTTTCTAACACCCTTCACACCACCAGAATCTACACATGAAATCATGTTGATTACAAAAGGATTATTGATGATTAACTTTTAAAATTAGAACGACTTATGTGTCAAGTGAAAAATATCTCTCAGCGCTCTAGTAATGTGAATTAGATAAACGTGAATAATCGGCGAATATATTTGCATGAAATGGAGCTAGCATCTACCTGGGCTTCATTTTGTATATCGCAAATAGAAATTTACAAAGAATAAATTTAAAAATTCATACGAGAAAAAATATAAATCTGAAATAAAAAAAAAAATTTTAAATGTAATGCTTCTGAAGCAAAAAAGAATAAAGTTCCTGAATATTTAAAATTTTTTTTATTGTATATATTTACCGAGCAATTCGCTACAGCTTCGCTTGCCTACTTATATTACGTATCGAAAATTATTCTTCTCAAGTTATGCTCAACAAATGAATGAATTTGCTTTTTATAGCTTCTTGCCAACCAATTAAATATGTGTGTGTATTCTAGTATAGCTTAATTTGCATAAAAATTCTGACTTGTTTATTTACACAAAGAAAAGGCCAAGTTTGTTTAAGAAAAAAGTTTTGAACGCGACTGAAGAAGTAAGTGTGAGTTCTATGGCAAGAAAAAATTGGTTTCACACACTTCGAGCGCCAACACTGGCAACAAACACAAATATTTGTTTGTATGTACGAACTAACCAAGCGAACTTTACGAACACACACAAATAAACCTGATACACTTGCATAACCATATACACACTTAGGCCTATTTATTTATGTATTTATGCTCAATCATGATCAGTCAGAAATGTCTGTTGCCATCACTCTTATGGCCCACAACTACACAACGCCTCGACTTGGCTACTGAAACAATAATATAAACACAAATAATTTGCATACGCACACACACAGATATTCATCGATGAACGTATCGAAGTAGCAGATGAGCATAAACAGTAGAGTAATTAACATATTGTGTCAAGTGGCTGAGCGAACAAAATTGATGCTACCCATCAAGTGGAGAACATGACATGACAGTGGCACGGCAACAGCGAAGGTGGCGGTAGCAGCAGTAGCAGCAGCAGCAGCTTTTTAATGAAATTTGTGGCAACAAAAGCAAAATAACTGTAACGTTTTATATATTGCGTGCTTTGTGCATTTATTAGGAAAAGAGTAGTCAGCTCTTGGAGTTCAATTAGTGGCGGATGCTGTCAATAAAATGTGTCAAAATATTTCTTACACCACCTGATACTGCAAAATAATATTAAATAATTGAGAATTTACTTCATTAATGAAGAAAGATTGTGAAGCTCAGTATGAGAGACAGCTTCATTGTTTATATATATTTCTGCTTGAGTGAGCTTAAAATCAAGTTCGATTCAGCTGTTTTAACAAGAACTCTCGCACACCTTCTTAACTGCTGCGAGCTCTTGTCTGCAGTGTCGTATTGGTAGCAGAAATATTTGAACTGAAAAATATTATACAAATAATTCGGCAGAAAGCTCTTTTTAAGTTCCAGAGCGCTGCTTACTTTCCGTAAGCCTAAAAAATTACACTTTGTGGTAAGATCTACACTACACTCTTTCTCATGAAACTGAGCGTTTATCTAATTACACTCTCTTTTTTGTTCCTCAACTGCGTTTATAAAAATAAATTAGTGTCTATATCGCTAAACTGCCGCACGACTTGCATGCTTCATGGTCCATAACCCCAACACGCAAAGTCCCGAACTCGCTTCTACGATGATAATGTTGCCAGCTTCAAAATAATTTGAATATCTCAATTTTTTTTTTCATTCACTTATAGTATATAGTATAATTTAAATCGCATATTGTATCAACGCCTCGCAAGAAAATCAAGCCTGAATATTGCTATAAGCAAATATTTGCTAAAAAACATGCTTTGACCCAAATGCGACGAGGTTAAATTGATTTCTACGAAACATTGCCTGACCAAACACAACTTACAGAATAAGTGGCAAAAAAATATATAAGGCAGTAAGTAACTTGCCACAGCCACAAAGTTAGTCAAGAAGCTGAGCAAATGTCAATTAAATTTTTATAAACAACTTAAGTAAAAGGTAAAGTATGCGCTTTCGCACTGCTTGCGGAAATGTAGCAAGCCAAGCTGAAAGCGCAACCAATGCAACATGCACACGAAAGCTGTAAAGCACTTGCATGTATTTGTGGAAAGCACAGCTAGTGCCACAAACAAAAAAATTTGGCAAGTAATAGGATAAGCAGGATATGTAAAGAATGTGTGTGTGTATGTGAGTGTGTGTGTGTGTGAGAAAAGCGCATGCATTGAGTGACCAGCAGATGGCATTAGCAAAAATGCTGTGGCAAAGAGTTTGGGGCATTAAAATTTTACTTTACTCAAGCTTTGAGTGGCAAAAGAAATGCATGTGAAGCAGGCGGAAGAATAAAAATGTGTAAAAGAAATGTAAGAAGCGAAATGTGGCGCAAGCGAAAGCTAAGTATGTGGCATCCATATGCAAGTGAGCGGCACAAGATGGCAGAGTGGAAGGAGTCGCACGTAGTATATGGAAGGAAGCACTAAACTAGAAGTGAAATGTGTAAAAGTGCAATTGTTTTAAATATTTAATACGCGGAAGTGCAACTGCTTTGGTAAAACTACTTGCAACAGCGACCACAAAGCGTTCAGCGTAAGTGAGTGCACTTGGAAGTGGAAATTGATGCTAAGGACAGCAAGGACAGCACATTAGAGTTATTTTTTTTTTTGACTTTTCCAACGCTGCTTTTCGTTACTTATTGCAGCAAGTTGCATGTTGCAAGTAACAAAGTCATCAACTAGTTGTTACCACGAATCGCTAATGCCACCAGCTGACAGCACATACATTCGCACATACAAATATGCATTTACAGGTGTGTGTGTGTGTGTGTGTGCGACGGCAATGCACTTAAAGCGCGCGCAGCTGCCAGCGCTACGCAATTAATAGAGCAATTGGCTGGCTAGCGGCGCATCTGCAGGAAGTGTCACACGCCACGGCCACACAACGCCGCTCGAAATTTGTATGCAACAGCGCGCACTTAGCTAATAAATGCCAGCGAGTAAGGATATGCTTAGCGGCGATGTGTGCGTGTGTGCATTAAGTGGCAACAATTCGCTTACAACTACACCACTTCGATTGCCACGATTTCCGCTGAATTCCTGCTTCCTTTGGCAATTGCAATGTTAATGACAGAAATATGAGTCGACCCAGCGGCAAACTAGCGTATATGCCACTTCACCGATATATACCTAATTTCACAGCATTTGTTGTGAGTCGCTATGAGCTATGCCCCAGTGGTGTAATGGGCAAGTGGCAAATTGTGCATTTGAGAGAGAAAAGTCATAAATTTGTCAGCTAAAAGGATATGTTTTTAAACAAAAATATCGACTATCAATTTTGTTTTGTAATTTGAGTGTGTTAGAGTTCGATTTTTAAGTGCAGACATGCATATAATTCACAAAAAAATCGTAAGTGTCCTTTTAAATGCGCACAAAGCAGCAAGTGGGGCACAATTAGTGCGTGTTTATGTATAAAAATTTTGTTGTTGTAATTTTATTACCTACATGCTGCTCTTGATATTGAATCATCTTAAATTTTGTGATGTTGATTTATTTTTTTTCGAAAATGTCTTAACTAAGCTGCTGCTGCTTGTTCTTGTAGAATTATAGCTCCGATTTCAGCACAATGCACTTCAGTAGCGCATATGTGAAAATTCTAGTGAATTCACATCTCTTATCATATATGTTTGTTGCACTCAAATTTCATACTACAATTCTGTTACTTATAGTACACTTCCTTGTTGAATGTGTGAAATCTAATGCTTTGTTTGTTTTCTGATAAGCAAAGAGGGACGCAATAGCATCAATTTATGTTTTGACATTCAAAATAAGATTTCGGCGAATTTATTTTACTTCATTGCATGTTGTATATCTTTAGTAATGAGTTAGATCATGCAAAATTTTTATAGTTATCTATCGTTCTGCTGGATTTATGCAGTTGCTTACTAAGAGCCCCTGTAGTCAGCTAAGTGTGAAAAATTTCCGATTATTGCCAAAATTAGATACACGTTGTTTTGTGTCAACACCCGTCTGTGATAAAACATAGAAGATATGAAAAAGAAAAAGCATTTTAAGTTTTGACTAACCTCTTTTTTTTGCTTAATGAATTGATTGTTGCTGCATACGCGCATATTCCTCATAGGTTATGGAGAATCTGTCTTTCAATAGAAACATTAGAATAGCCTCTAATTATAAGTAATTGTTTTATAGAATACTTATAGCCTTGCTATGATTAGATCGTCTCACATTCATAATGCTGTTTTATTTAACTAGTTTCTCAAACAAAGTATTTTGCTCGGCTTCTAAAATGATAAACATGCATGATGGCAGTATCGGCCAATGCGTAGCTTGCGTAGATCGAATGAAAAATATAGCAGCTGATTTTTATATGTCGAGTAGATCCTGAGATAGAATTGTCAGCTGAGATCGAATTGACACTCATGGTATCAACACAAATCTGCGAAAAAATATGCGGAGGCTGCAATGGTCAAGAGATGTCAATCATATTTGGTTTTGGCTTCTTCAGTATTAGAGAGATAAGGTGGAGAAACACTTGATTTTACATTTTGTTTCCAGTTGCCGCTATCTGGCCAAGAAACGGCTGAAACACCGATATCAACATTGATTTTCGTAGAAGAAATATGGATTTATATATCGACATCCGACAAGGTCTGTGTTTAGACATCAATAACAAATTTGTACGAGCGTTTCGGAAGAGAATATGCATTATGTGTATATATAAAATGTTTTGCTGATGAGCGTGTTTGTTAATGAATCTTCTAATCAGACTACTGAATTATTGAAACTATTTCTTGTGTTCTTGAACTGGTTGTCGGCTTCTACATAAAAATTCTGCTGCAACTTGGTAAATTCTTACTCTCTAGATGACAAGTTAGCACAGCTAAGACTATGCTCGAGAACTTGAAAACCTTTTAATATTGTGCTTTATGCATTTGCTTGGCTAAGCCAGCACTTACTAAAGCTTACCAGTTATATGTGATATATATCTTGATATTACGCATACAAAGTTTGAGCCACTTTCTAATAGCTAATGTGCCTTATGAACAGTTATATAATGTTAGAAACTTACTTGGACATTGCCGACTAGGAAACCTCTCTTGATGCTCAATGTATTGTCGTTTGTATATTGAGATGCAGTATTAAGCGTAGCGCTGAGGCATGTGTTGCGCTTAGTGTTGCATGAAATGAAATGTCATGACTTACAAAACTTCTAAGCTACAGCTAATATTGTCAGCAGTCCACACTTATGATACATTTCTAATCTGTATTACTATTTGTAGCATTGAGATGATATACAATGCTTGCAAAGCCAGCTTTTATTCATATTATCGCGCATTATCATCCAGACGCCACTGCAGTTGTTTTAATTTAAACTCAAATCGCTTTGTAAAGCACGCTTTGTACTGTTGCAGCTTAATTATAATATTAGTATTATTTTATTTGAACCGATAATCCGACAGATTTATAGCAATGGCAGCTACTATGCATGCATTCATAAATAAATCTTAGCTCTTATATGACAATGTTGATCTTTTGTGCTGTTGAGCTTTATATAAAGCAGTAATATGCATATATGTATGAGTGTATGTATATATGTTTTATATATATACTTAAGAATATATATGACTTAGCCTCTTCTTATCTAAGCTATATTCCCCGGAGCGTTAATTAAATTTGTTTAATGAAATATTAAATGCGCAAGACAACTATAAATATGACACATGAATATACCTACAAATGTATAATACCTACATGTATATTTGATTACAGCGTTCAACAAAAAATTTTTTTTTGTGCTATTGTTTTCATGCTGAAATTCTGATTCTAGACATTGAAAAATACTGGCATTTTTATTTTTAGCTCTTAAAGTTTGCTTTTGCCTGATATGAATGCGGCCGAGCTGCCCATATAAAAATAAAAAAAATACAAAAAAAATTTCTACAAAAGCAAACTTTAATAAAAAAAATTATTTTCGCTTATTTTTAGTATAGAAAAAATTTTAATGTAAAAAGCAGAAGTCCGATCCAAAAATCATGTCGACCGGTGTTATACTTGCTTATATACACGTGGTTATAAGCTCATTGTTATATAACAAAGTGGCAAGTTGCAACTGTTGAAAGAAGTGTGGTATCACATGAATATTCATAGACGCTAATGTGGTAATACATATGTACACACATATACATATATATAAATTAGATAACATATTACATATACTAAGTATGTACGTATGTATGTATGAAAATGTTAGTCCGCATACAGCTTTGCTTGCTTTACTAACCACATACAAGTATGTACATATTTGCTTGCGGTATCTCGTGTAGTAGTGTACAGCACAATTGTGTGTAGCCACGACGCGCCACGCCACAGCTTGTGGCAGCCCCATTCTGGCGCTGGTCCACAAGCAACATCAGCACAGTAGCTGTTGGCCAATATAACACAAATGCATGACAGTTTAATATTTAAACAGAAATTAACAAAAAAACAACAACAAACACAAAAAACAGCAATCGTTATAAGAACATTACAAAATGTGGCAGAAGATGAGTTGCACCATTTACTGTTACTATTTGCCGTCAAAGCCCGAATTTGTTTGCAGACTCACGGTATTTGTGCAGCAGCAGCAGCAGTAGCTTAGCTAAAGCCAAATAGACTGTCTGCTAGGTACATATGTTAGTTAGCATGCAGCATATACATATAGACGCGCAAGTATGCGCAACAACAACGTTTAATGCGAATGACAACAAGTAAGTAACAACAACAACAGCAGCAGCAAACAACTAGAAATAATTGTAAAAGAGCACTAACAACAACAACAACAGCAAACAACTAGAAATAATTATAAAAGAGAACAATGACAATGCTTTCATGCAAATAACGAACTTTCTTCACACACACACACACACACGTAAACGCACAAATATACAACAGTATGTACTTGCAACAGCACACCATAGCATTTTATCTACTGCCACTTGGCTTGAATTTACTTAAGACTAATCCACAGCTAATTTAAATTAGACTACCGCGTCATGCTGCCACACTACAAACAACAACAATAACAACAACAGTTACAAATATACTATAGAAAAGAGACGTAAAACAACAAAAAGCGCACTACAACAATGGGGTTAGACATGGATGCGCTGTGACATTTTACGAGCCGAGAGTAAATACGCGTTGTATTAAGGTAAATGACGGCGAAGAAGAAGCAGCAGAAACAAAAAAAAAATAGTAAATATTGCTAGCCGAGTTGGTAGTCGTTACGGTGGAGGTGGCAGCAGTGAAGGTGATTGCATGGAAAAATTGCTAGCTGCTAGCGTGTGCAGGAAATAATGCGGTGAGGCTTGCTGTCAGGTCATGCAGCACAGCGCTAGCTGCACACTACGCACATGCATACAAACGTTTAACATATGTGCATACATTCATAGGCACACCATAGCCACCGCTGCTTATGGTAATTGCATTAATAAGTAAAACAACATGCGCGTTGCAGGTTCCTGCTGTTGTTGTTGCACAATCCATAGGTACTCAGCCGCAACGCATTACTTACTTTTTCAAAAAAACAAAAAAAAAAAAACAACAAACCGAAGAAAAAAGAACAACACAAACAGCTCGTTGCCAACACAATTGGAGCGCAGCGAAACGAGGTAGCAAATAAAGTGTCGGGATCATGTTGAGTGTTTGTTTGCTGCTTATGCAAAAACAATAAAAACAAAAAGCAATTTATTTAAGTTTTTTAATGAAAATAAGCAACGCTGTTTACCGCATAAGTTACTGGCTGCAGAAGGCATGGCAGATAAATTTTTATACAGTTAATTTGGTAAATAACCAAAAAAAAAAACAGTTGAGTTATAGTAGAGATAAACATGTATATCGTAGCAAATATGTATTTGTGTAATATACACAAAAATATGGTAACTCTTTTTGTTGCAACAAGTGTTCTTTACTGCTTTTCCGCTTGGTTTGTGGAGATCTGTTGTCGAGTTCACTATAACACAACATCGTTCGCGAAACCCAAGTCAATTCCATTTCATCTACATATTTACCCTTTACCCTACCCTTCCTTTACCGGTAGCATGTATAAAAATTTATTTTGGTATAACTTCTTTTGAGTATCACAGGTGGAACTCTTTTTCTCACCTCCATAGCGGACTTTGTTCTGTAATTAGCATCAATCCAAAGGTAAATTTGTTAGCAAGAATAATTTTTGTTGAAAGCAAAGCTTAATCTTTTGGTATATCGAGGTATATATTTCAATTAAATTTTAACTCAAAATCTTGTATAGTCCTCTGAAATCATAATTATACTCTATCTCTCTATTCTAATAAAGGTAATCACTGCTCAGCCGGCCATAATTATTTTTGAAACTTTCATATCTCTCTAATATATATAAAAGTTTTCTGCTGCTGTCGAGAATCAACTAACATAAGAGCGAGCTAGCTCGCGCTCGGCGGACGTAGGCGAGCGAGCGAAGCGACCGTCCCGGAGCGCAGCGGAGGGCTCCTAGTATTATATATAAAGTAAAAGATTAAAAAACAACTGCCAATAGTACTCAAGTATTGAGCCAAGGGATGGACAGGTAAAGTTCTGAATCAGAAAGTTTCAATAAACTTTTTCGATTCTCAAATATTGTGGCTCATTATTTGGCGGACTATAAAAACGTTTTCTAGGATGTGTCTTCCTTTACTCCTGTCATCCTAACAATAGCTCGAACAGCAGCTTTTACTTCCAGCCTCTTTATAATTCGTTGCGCGAAATGTCTAAAAATGTACTAAAAAAAAGCTGAAGCTCACTCTAACAGTGTTCATATTAAATTGCTGGCGGCACCAGTTCCTCAGATCTCATATAGGAGATAACTCTATATCCTCCTATAGCAATTTGCTCATGAAATCCTTGAGAAACATAAAGAATCCAATTTAATCTCAGTTCTTTTCAATTTTCCACAGTAAGTTTATTTGACTAAATAGTTGCTGAGCTCGATAAAACCAGAGAATATTCTAAACAGATTATTGTCGCTCCATTTACATACACACATACTTGTACATACAAAACAGTATGTTTGCTAGTTGCACCGCTACTAGCTTCAACACAAAGGGTTCAAGTGAGAGTTGGAGCTCTGCCACATTTACTAGTTAAGAAACAAAAAAAAAACAAAAAAAACTTACGACACACCAAATATTTGCCGTTGTTCGTGCATATGCGTGACAATTAATATAAAACATGGCAACGGAAGAAACAACGGAAAGGTGCACCTACAACAAACAGCAAACAAAGCATAAGAATTAGAAATGAAATAAACAAGCGCTGGAAGAACACTTGTGGTTAAACACAAACAACAAATGGTAAAGCAGTTTATAGAAAAACGGCTAGAAAAAACGTCCAAGCACGAAATGATCGCATTATTGCAGTTAAGTTTGGCCTTTTCCGCCATTTCATAGTAACATATATAATTTCTTCTTTTCCTTAGTTTGTCAACATTGGTATGGTGACACAGTTGCCAACAATATTCACATGTGCTACACGTTTGCATGCCACAGCAATACATTAGCTATTGGCGCAGTCGCCCGCACTAGACGACCGTCGATGACATGTAAGGTGTTTGTGGCACTTTCTGTGTCTTCCTCAAGTGCGCTACAATGTCGAAAGGTTAATAATTAGTCGGTATAACAGCTGCTGTTAAACGACAAAGTTTCTTTCAAAATTTTTTATTAGAGGTGTAAACCATTCCACAAAACTTTCAACGCTTAAACCGTTGATCAAGAGAACAATTAATCAAGAGCACCCTATCAATAGATAGGTAAGAAAAAGGTTGCTAAGATAGTAAGGAATGAAAAAAGTTTGCTTTCTTTTCGACTTTCGTGTCCAAGATCTTAGATTTGTGAGAACTTTATGATTTCTTAACTTGACCTCTTGAGCGCTGATCACTACAGTCTCCACTTGGCCTAAACGCACATTTGAGGTTCTACATGCATCACCAGTATTAACTAACTTCATATATATTTTTATACCCAAACTGTTTGTGAGGACTCTTTTCATACTAGCTACTGTCTAGAAGGTGTTTAAGGCCCGGAACCTTGAGGTTTGAGAACAAAAATATCTTTAATTTACAAATGAGCTCCTCAAAAACAGATTTATATCAGTAATCCTTACACTATTGCTATGCTAGAACTGTGCGTCCAGCAAAACGTAACCCTAATAAATAATTTGAAATGTGACAAAAACCGTTTATAGGGTGTTAACCTCGCGCAGTATGCTCTGC